AGAGGACTGAACTTGCCTGGAGATCCACGGCCTCTCTACAGATCACAGAAGCAGCAAGAATCTTCTCTGTGCAGTACAGATTGCAACGAGTTTTGGAATCCATGGAACCTCATAGCTGTGTGTGTGTGTGTGTGTGTGTGTGTGTACATGTGTTTATTAGAGATAAATAAAATAAGGAAGGGGGAAGACTTGGAGACTTCTTCAAGGTCTTCTAACTAGTAAGAAGTAGACGAGGCCCTAAACCCAGATCTTCTTACTCTTCCTACAAGGGTGATTAAGTATGACTCTGAGGTTAAGAAGTTCAAGAAATGGTCATAAACTTGGGTTCCTCCAAATGACAGCGGTGACAATGAGGAGCTAAATAGTAATGTGACATTTGCCTCTTAAAAAGATTCTGGAGAAGTTCTCCCATCTTTCCTATGTGGGTGACGCTTCCACAGTCCTTTCCTGTAGGGAGCATAGTACCTGGGCCACCATCTTTGCTGAATAGTTTACTAAGATGAGATATGCAGGGAGTATACAGGTGAATCTCTGTGCTCAAAATCCCTCACTGTCCAGAACTAGTGGCAGAGGTGGAGATCAGTGAGTAAATAATTACTGAATCATTGCTTCTGGCCAGCATAGGGATTTGTATAGATGTATTTTACTGCTGCTTCCCCCAGATGTGCATAAAACAAGAAACTAGATCAGAAGCAGAGCAGGCAGAACTTGAACAAGGTATTGAATTTGGGATATTGTAACTTAATCCGCTATACCAAACACCCACTCCTAAAAACAGTTTAATCAAAATGTTTGAGAAACATAGGCAAAGCAGAACTAGAAAGCCCAGGGGAAGAGAAACCTGTGAAGGGGGCTTCCAGCCTGGGGGTACCAGCCTGAGGGTACCAGCCTGGGGGTACCAGCCTGAGGGTACCAGCCTGGGGCTTCCAGCCTGGGGGTACCAGCCTGAGGGTACCAGCCTGGGGGTACCAGCCTGGGGGTACCAGCCTAGGAGTACCAGCCTGGGGGTACCAGCCTGGGGGTACCAGCCTGGGGGTACTTGCTGGCTCACCAGGGGAGAAGGTGGAGACTGCAGGTTCAGGGTGTTCTCACTGGGCAGAAAGGAGCCCTTTAGCATGCAGGCTCCCGAGGAAGCTGTAATTTGAGGGGAAGGCATCTAGAGAAGGAAGAGATGAATGGAGGGACGCCCCACAGAAGTTTGCTTTGGTATTCTCCATGGTCTTTGGGTTGGGCAGTGGACCAGAGAAAGACATTAGTGCGAACACTAGAAAAATTCAAACTCTGTAAGTAGATTAGCTGGCAGGGTTCTACCAATGTAACCTCTTTATGATGTGGTAACAAAGAGGTTAACATGAAACCAGGTGCTGCAAGGAAAATAATCCTATCAATGAAGAAATCTATGCTCCAATACAAAGAGACAAACATCAGGGAAACAGGGATGAAAAGGAGGATGAGGCAAATGAGAGGTGATCCTGTTTGTGTTTGGTTGACCCTCTTTTCAAAATTGGGACAGTAAGTTCTTCAGGCTGAAGAGCGAGGAAGCCAGATGCTAACTCAGAGCTGGAGGGCAGAATGAAGAGCACGAGAGAAGGCAAATGTGTGGGAGACGCTGAAAGGCTACACGGCACCCCTACTGAATTTATTTATGGGGCAACTATTTAAGCAAAACTAAAACTATTACTGTGTGAATTACTGTGTGCCTAAAAGTAAAAGACAATAGTACCATAGAGAAAGATGTTGCATCAATGGATTTATACAGTTATAAGATTTAAAAAAAAAATTTTTTTTTTATTGGAAAGACAGATGTACACAGAGGAGGAGAGACAGAAAGGAAGATTTTTCGTCCGATGATTCACTCCTCAAATAGCCACAACGTCCGGGGCTGCGCTGATCTGAAGCCAGGAGCCAGGAACTTCTTTCCGGGTCTCCCACACAGGTGCAGGGTCCCAAGGCTTTGGGCCGTCCTCTACTGCTTTCCCAGGCCACAAGCAGAGAGCTGGATGGGAAGTGAAGCTGCTGGGATTAGAACCGGTACCCATGTGGGATTCTGGCGCATTCAAGATGAGGACCTTAACCATTACACTATCACGCCGGGCCCAGTTATAAGATTTTTACAATTTACATGAATGGTACAATTCTAATTAAAGATAAAATATGCATGAGAAATTAAGGATGAATACTATAATCTTTAGAGCATGCATGTGTCTGCTGGCATGTGCACACGTCCGCACACCCCCACAAAGAAGAATACCAACAGTCAGTAGGGTGCTGAAGTGTGGCAGTGTGATTTAAGCTGCTGCCCTAAACTGGCATCCCATACGGCTGCCAGTGCGTGTCCTGCATGGCCTACTTCCTAGCTCCCTGCTGATGCACCTGGAAAAGCAGTGAAAATGGCCCAAGTGTGTGGCCCCTGCCATCGACGTGGGAGACTTGGATGAAGCTCTTGGATTCTGACTGCAGCTGGGCCCAGCTCTAGGTACTGGGGCTACGTGAGGTGTGAACCAGCAGACAGAAAAGACCACTCTCTGTAACTCTCACTTTAAAAATAAATAAATCTTTACGATTCAGTAGGAGGCAAAACAAAACAGAATAGCTTAAAAGAAGACAGAAAACAAGAACCAGCAACCGAACTGATGAAATAAGTAAGACGACAGTGAATGTAGACATGCAGCAATTCTTACACGAAATCTAAGGGGACCTGCCTTTTCTGGGGGCTGGGGCCAGGAGCTCCGTGTGGCCTCACTGGTGTGGCGGGGCTACTGAGCTAGGAGTTACACCACGGCAGGACAGTCCATGCAGGGGGCAGGACTGGAGGACAGTCGGAGGACAGGATGGGACAGGATGGGACAGGATGGAACGGAAGAAATGATGGCTGGTATGTGTGGAAAAATAAGTGGAATTTCTGAATGGAAAAAGGAAGGGAGCTTAGTCAGGCAAAAAGGCAGGGAACATTTGAGAGTGACAAGTGGGTGGGAAACAGAATGGGAGAGCTCTGTTGGGGCTTGTTGTCAGGCCACAGGAGCTCAGGGAGTCTGAAATCCCTTAGGGAAGTCTGGGAGTTGGAGGGACTTTCAGCCTCCCCTCTGCATCCCTGACTCAGCCCTTGTTCTTATCCTTATCTAGCTTTCAATTTTTAATTGACACGTACAAATTATACATATGAGGCTATTCAAAAGGTAAAAATGAAATTAAAAATTCTTTTTCTCTGCCTCTGGAAGAAAGATAAATTTAATTTTGTGCAAAATGGTTTTGACATCCATGTATAAATTTTTTTTGTTGCAGTTTTTTCATAATACACATTTTCCACAAACTTTGTGGTAGTCCTCATGTGCATGGATGTCAATTTTTTTCCCCACCAAAGTAAGCTTATTTTTATGTTTTAAGTTTGAAAGAGTTATTTACTTTTATTTGTAAGGCAGATTTACCAGAGAGTGATGGAGTGACAGAGGATTTTTATTTGCTGGTTCACTCTCCAAATGGCTGCAATGGCTAGAGCTGAGCTGACCTGAAGCTAGGAGCCAGGAGTTTTTTCTCTGGGTTCAGGGGCCAAGAGCTTGTGCCATCCTCCTCCTGCTTTCCCAGGCAGAGAGCTGGATTAGAAGTGGTGCAGCTGAGGCATGAACTGGTGCCCATATAGGATGCCAGCATTACAGGGCGGAGGACTAGCCTGCAACACCAATCTAATGATCCCAAACTTATTTTTAAGTTTATTTTAATTAATTTTTATTGAAAGTCACAGTTACAAAGAGGCAGAGATTTCCCACCCACCTGTTCACTCCTCAGATGGCAGTAGTGACCAGCCAGAAGCCAGGAGCCAGGGCTTTAGCCAGGTCTTCCGTGGGCATGGCAGGAACCTACAAACTTTTTCCCAGCCGTTGGCAGGGAGCTAGATGGGAAGTGGAGCAGCCGGGACTCAAACTGGCATCACGTGTGGCAGCTGTACCTGCACAACCCCAGATCCCCAAATTGTCTTTTAATTTGATTTTTCCATAAACTTTGGTGAAGTACTCGTATTTAGGGTACTGTGTGGTGTTTCGATGCCTGTGTACATTGCACAATGTTGAAATCGGGGTAAGCATTATCTCTGCAAACATTTTTCATTTCTTGGTGCTGGAAACTTCAAAAACCCTTTCCTCGGGCTCTCATGGAATAGGTATGTGGGCACTGTCATCATTTAGCAATGCAACAAGACACCTGATTGTCTCCTGGGCCTTTCCCTGTCCCCCTTCCTCCTCCACTTGCCTGCTTCCGGCAGCCACCACTCGATTCAGTCTTTACCAGCTCGACTAGATTCCACAAGTGAGTGAGATCATGGGTATTTGCTTTTCTGTGCCTGACAGACCCCCCCCCCTTTTTTGTTGTTTTTATCTTGTTTGTTTTTAATCGTGATCATGTCTACCCACGCTCCAGACTGCACCACCCTAGCCACTTCCTGGTGGCCTCTTGCTCACAGCTCTCCAATTTTGTTCTGAGCTTCCAGAAGTTTCCAGTCTGGGGAGACCTCATGAACTCCGGAGGATTCGTTGAGGGGTGGGACGGATCAGCAGGAGGCCTTAGAGGAAAAGTTTTATTAACTGTGGAGTCACCCTGGAGTGTGGGTGTGGATGCCACGTGCTGTGTCTTGAAGTGGTTATCCGACACCGTGGTCGTGTCCTCATGGGGGTTACAATCCACTGGAGAGCCACGCCCACACAAGAAAAAAGCTAGTGAATAAAAAAAGAACCCAAGCAGGCCAAGGCAGAAGTTCAATAGATGGCTTTCAGATAGGTACGTGCACGCGTGAATGAATGAACCCAGGGATCCGCCCCAGGACACCCGTGGAGCGTGGTCGTCTCCGGGAAGTGTCCTTGGAGGGGTTCCAGGCGTGGAACCCGACCCCAGGGTCGCCGGGTAGCGCAGGGAGCGTGGACGTGGCTTCCCATCGCCCCCTCGAGCGCAGCATCCAGAGAGGGGCGTCGGGGGAGGAAGCTCGAGGCCGCGGCCCGCCCCGTTGCGTCCCACCCACCGCGTGCCCTCCCCTCCCCTCTGGCTGCGGGAAAAGCGGCCGCGGGCGCCGCTGCTCACTGTGGGGCGGGCAGCGGACAAGATGCGAGCGCGGGCGCAGCGTCGGCCGCTCTGGGCCGCGGTGCTGGCGCTGGGGGCGCTGGCGGGCATCGGCGTCGGAGGTGAGTGAGGATCCATCCGGCCCCAGAGCCGCTCTGCTGCCAGCAATGCGCCCTGGGAGCGGGGGACCCGGAGCGGGCGGGTTCTGCGCGGCTGCGCCTAGAGGGCGCGGCCCGGGCTGGGGCCGTCGGGGATCGGAGCTGGGGACCTTGCCTGCACGGGTCACAGGGTTGAGAGGCCCCGGAGGCCGAGGGCGGACCGTCTGGGATGCCGCAGCTTTCGTCCCAAGGGAGCACTTTCCCCGGGCAGGAGGTGCTCGGCGGGGAGGGCGCGCGGGTTCAGTCCGGGCTGCGCGCGTCGCGGAGCGTCAGGGCGAGGCAAGCCCGCAGGACCCGGGCGGCCAAGGCAAGCTGTGACTTCTGGGTGAGAGTGCACTCACGCGCGTCCCTTAGGTACCCAATAGTTCCTTCTGTCTCTGTCATTTCACTTGTTGGCCTTTGCGGCAGCGTTTTGCAGTAACGTGGTGTGGTGGTGGGGGTCTTTCCAGTGCTCTGGGGGTAGCAGCGGTACTTCTGTGTCAGGCGCAGACCCTGCACAGTGAGCCACCACGAGGGCTGGCGTGGACCCCTGCTGCGCTTGCCTTCGCAGCTACCAGGGCATTCAACATTTGATTTCCTGGATGTGTGTGTGTAGATGGTGGGGCGGAGGGGTAGAGTGAGCCCAGCCCAGGGATGCCGCCCGTTGTCCCTCCGGATGCCTTGCCGATCTTGCGTAATTGGCGGTGGGGGATGAAGGGAATGTGGGCTCTGGCTCCTGCCCCAGGAGGCCGCCTGCTTCTGCAGAGAAGTGCATACCTGTGCTTGGAATGAAGTAAAGCAACTGAGGTCCTGAGAGAGGATTGTGTTTAGAAGGATAAGACTTATTTTAAAGGTGAGTTATTCAGAAATACTTTGATGGCAGCCCTCAAGCCTTTTGTGTAGGAATAAAGGCCCCGCAGGACAGGGAAAGGATATCCTGATGGAGGCGTTGGGGGGCTCCTGTAGTTTTAACGGGAGAGGGTCCTTACAATTGTTGCTGCTGAAGCTTCCCTTGTGAAAGAGACAAGCACAGGTCAGCCCAGAGCAGCTGGTGGGTGTTAGCCCAGAAATAATGAGCTTCCAGCATCCTGCCTGGGAGAGCATCGCCTGGGGCAGGTGTTTCTGGTTGTTGATGCAGAGCTTGGAGTCCAGCACAGCTCAGCTGTCTGCTGCAGGCCGAGGTGCCTGCTGCCACGAACTGAAACACTTCATGGTTTCATGCTTTCATTCAGAACATGTTTCCATGCACAGCTTTGCAAACAATGAGTGTGAGCCTTGTTTTCAGACAAGAAAGTGTGCAGTAGAGCAGGACTGTGCCTGATGTGGCCCTTGGCTGGATGCTGTGCAGATAAAGAGGGTGATAGCTCTGTGCTGTGTCTTCCTCACCTTTCCCACTTTGCAGTGTAGCTTGTGTTGATCTGACTCACTCAGTAGTCAGGACCCCTGGAAGAGCCACAGCACTGGCACAGCCAAGAGCCCTTAAGAACTCTGCTCAAGGAATCATTGTGCTATTGGGGTGATTCCAGGAGCAGTGGTGCTGGGGCAGCCTGACTCACTCTGAGGGCCAGGGATCTCTGGAATCAGGAGAAAGAGGACCCCAGTAAAAGCAGCTTCTGTTATATTTATGTTCCCTATTCTAGTGTGAGTGCAGCGTTATAGGTGTTGTCACATTTCCATGGAGGCATGGGTGGGACAAGTGTAGGAAAGTTGTGTAGGGGCTGCACATGGTGGAGGGTCCACACCAAGAGCTGCAAGGGGGTGGAGGTGGCACAGAGAGGCTGTCCTGGGGTAGGGGAGTCTGGTACAGGGAGAAGAGGTTTGAAGGTAGAACCTGAGTTTTGAGTTTATGTGCAAAGTTTACCTTTTCAGGTTCACCAAAAAAGTGTTGAACTTTGTGGCTTATTCCTGTTTAGGCCATGGAGGGGGAGAGAGAGATAGGTCCATACAGTCGCATTCACTCGTGAAAGTTCAGGTGTTCTAGCTGGGCAGGGGAGGGCGATTAGAATGCAGTGGAGACTATGAGCGCATTGAGGATTTGGACCTCTGTCCTGGGGGCGCTGGAGACTAGGGTCCTCTGGGAGGTGTCTGTTTTTCCCCTTCCAAAAAGGAGCCCCAAGACCCCATCACACTCCTCAAACCTGTGCCAGGGCAAAGAGGAGGCATGACAGAGGGCACCGGGGGACTCCGTGAGCTGGGGCAGGAGGCAACAGTGTGAGCAGGGGGAGCTGGATCTGAGTGTAGAACTTCCTAATAGGGAGTACTCCGCCACAGTGCCCACCGCACTCAGGACCTCTGGTTATCATCTCCTCCCAGCCCCAAGCAGCCTCCTGCCCTGGCTGGCAGGAATAGCTGGGACACATGCCCACAGGAACCACAACCCAGGAACCAGTAGACAGACAGTGAACTTTCCAGATGACAGGGTAGCTTTGGGACTAGACCACTTGGCTTACCACCCTCAAAGCTCCCCCCCACCCCCTGCCATCACCCCTAGCCTTGCCTCCCCGTTCCCAGCCCTGGCCCTTCTGCAGCAGAAAGACAGCTGTGTCTGCTGGAGCTGGGGCCACTCCAGCAGGGGAGTGGGGGTAAGATTGAGAGCAAGGAAGTGAGGTCAGTGAGGGAAACTGCCCATTACTCCCTTGTAAATTGCTGGCCTTTATTGAAATGTGCGATTCTGCTGGGGTTGGCAGGATGGCTCAACTGGCTAATGCTCTACCTGCAAGTGCAGCATCCCAAATGGGTGCCAGTTCTAATCCCGGCAGCTCCACTTCCTGCCAGGCTCCCCCTTGTCTTAGGCCTGAAAATTCCCTGTACAGGCCACCAGTTGTCGCCGTCCCACAGTGACACTAAAATGACGAGGCATACTTTGGTGGGTCTGAGAAAAGCTGGAACCGCAACCGGACCCTTCACTGCCAAAAGTGGCTGCGTTTAAACCCTTCTTTCTGCTGCCCCTGTCCCTGTTGGACTTAGCTTTCCTCCCCGCTTTTCAAGCCCTCTCTCTGCTTTTCCCGTCTGTCTTTCCCTGCCCTATTCTTCTCATTCCAGCCCTCGTTCTCCTCCCCGTCTTTCTCATCGTAGTCTCTCCGTCTTTCTCGTCGTAGTGGTCCGTCTATCCTAGCTTTTACTGGCTACTTTTATGTTGTTCTCCACCAATCACTTCTCCCCGTGGGTCCATTTGGCGCTATGTGATAGGCCAGTAGCAATGACATAATTGCAGTGAGGGCATTAGCCTATCCCTGTGACTTTGTGGGACATCAGGAATAAGCTCCTGGCTTCAGGTTGCCTAAACTCCAAGTGTTATGACCATCTGGGGAGTAAACCAGCGGACTGAAGATCTTTCTGTCTCTCCTCTGCAAATCTGCTTTGCCAATAAAAATAAGCCTGAAAAAAAAAGAGAAATGTGAGACATTAGCAAAAATGATAACATCTGCTCTTTTCTCCATGCACTGTCCCCCAAAATGCTCTTTAAAAAAAAATTAGGAGTGTTGCAGTATAGTAAAAGGTCAGCTTCATCCTTTTCAGCTGCACACTTGTATGACTTTGGACAAATGCACACAGTCAGAAAAGCTATACTATAATAAAGATACAGGGCATTTCTGTGATTCCAGAAAGTTCTCTCCAGGTGCTTTGGAATCAATTCCTGTCCCCATCCCAATGTCCTGGCAAACACTGATCTGTGCTTGAAATCAAGTAGCACATAGTCTTTCAAGTCTGGTTTTGGATTGATCCCTGTTGCGGCCTGTGCCAGGACCTGTAAGAGTCACCTGAGAGCACGGGGCCTCGGAATCTAAAGAGATGAAGGGGGTATGACTCAAGTTCTACAGTCACCGATAAACAGGTCCCATTAAATTCTGTCTCTCTTGGGTGTTGCAACAGGCATCTTGAGAGCAGAGGGGCTAGATCCAGTAAACCCCATAGGGGCCATCCAGCGTTCAATGGCTGTGTTTTCTGTTGGATAGATGCATTGGGGGCCATGGAGAAGCCATTAGATTTCCAAAGTGCTGATTAGTTAAAGACTAAAGAGTATTGGACAAGATTTTGCAGCAAACAATGCTTTCATTCTTCCTGGTCCTAAAAATAATATCTATTTTGTGCCTGCATGTATTGCGTCACAACCCTTGGAGCCATAGGCTGTTAAAATAAGCCTCAGGTGATCCTATTTTTTTTTTTCTTATTTTTGGTTGCATTTCTGAGAAAAAAAAATTCTCTAGAAGTTTTCCATTCTGGTTTACTGCCCTGTTCCCACAAGAAAAGGTTCACTCTCTTCTTGTTACTTAACTTCAGTTAGCGAAGGTGTGGAAATATTCAAAGAATGAGATGGTACAAGGCTCATAAGAAAGTCCAACATTGGAGGGTGAAATTGCTGATCCTCTAATCTTAGTGCCCTGTAGCATCCACTGTGGTGGGTAGTATGTTGTTCTTAGGTATTTTTCCCCTTGCAAATATAATTCGTGTGTGTGTGTGTGTGTGTGAGAGAGAGAGAGAGAGAGAGAGAGAGAGAGAGAGATGCATATGGGAAAAAAATCCTTAATGTGAAAACAACTGTGGACTTGAAGTTAAGAACCCTACATCCAGTTTACAGTTCTTCAGGCCTTCATATCAGCTTGCTTGAACATGTCTTATGGCTGGACCCTCAGTGTGTTGGCATCTCAGGGGTGGCGAAGTGGGCAAAGGCAAACCTGAATGAGAAACCTCTGTTTGCTTCTTGTTTCATCACTAACCCTCCTTCCATGCCAGAATTCCCTTTTGTGGGATAGAGTAGGGAAGAAAGGAAAAAAAGGGAGAGTCTGTTATTATAATCAAGTGTGAAAATTTTGGCACTATGAGAGCCTTCTAGAAGCTTGGCACAAGGCACATTCAGTGGCCACTTTAGAATTCCCTGTGGTCACGCCTGTATCTCTTTGTGAGTGGAATGCTAGGAGATAGAAAACCTTGGTCTGTGGTCCCCACAGCTGGTTTTGAACACCCACTTTAGCCCCATACATGAT